CCCCCCCCCCCCCCCCATGGGAACGGGAGAGGAAGTCGGCCACGATCATCTGCATCTCCGGCCTATGGACCACCCTGAACTTAAACGGCTGTAAAGCCAGATACCAACGGGTGATCCGCGCGTTGGCATCCTTCATGCGGTGGAGCCACTGGAGGGGAGCGTGGTCCGAGCAGAGGGTGAATGAGCACCCCAGCAGCTAGTAACGCAGAGCATCGACGCCCACCGGATGGCCAGGCACTCCATCTCCACCCTGCTGTACCTGGCCTCCCTGTCAGAGATTGTCCGGCTGATGTACGGGGCGGTCGATACCCTGCACCTGCTGGGACAGAACCGCCCCCAACCCTCTGCCCGACGCATCAGTCTGCAGTATAAAGGGGAGACAAAAGTTAGGTGTGTGGAGAAGAGGCTCCCCACAGAGGGTCTGCTTTACCCTCTCAAGCGACACCTGGCACTGCTCCATCCACTGGACCGTATCTGAGGCACCTTTTCGGGTGAGGTCGGTCAAGGGGCTGGTCAGCTCAGCGAAGTTGGGAATAAACGACCGGTAATAGCCAGCCAGCCCCAAAAACCGCCGCACCTCTTTTTTCATCTTGGGTCTTGGGCAGGCCGCAATCGCTGCCGTCTTGTCCACCTGTGGACGCACTTGCCCGCCACCCAAGTGGTACCCCAGATACCGTACCTCCCTCTGTCCAAATGCACACTTCGTCGGGGTTGGCCATGAGATCCGCCTGCCTCAGGGACTCGAGCGCCGCAGCCACCTGCCGCATATGCTCCGCCCAGGTGTTGCTGTGGATGATCACATCATCCAGGTAGGCGGCAGCATATGCAGCGTGCGGCCGCAGCACCCGGTCCATGAGGCGCTGAAACGTGGCTGGGGCCCGCGAACAGTCCGAACGGAAGCGTGATGAATTGCTACAACCCGTATGGAGTGGAGAAGGCCGTTTTTTCCTTGGACTCTGGCGATAGGGGAATCTGCCAGTAGCCCTTGGTTAAATCCAGCGTCGTGAAAAAACGAGCTGTGCCAAGGCGATCCAGGAGTTCGTTGACCCGGGGCATAGGGTAGGCGGCAAACCGTGACACATCGTTCACCTTGCGATAGTCCACACAGAACCGGATAGACCCATCATTCTTACCCACAAGAACGATGGGGCTGCACCAGGCACTGTTGGACTCTTCTATTACCCCCAACTCCAACATTGCTTCCAATTCAGCCTGGACCACTTTTCTTTTGTGCTCAGGCAACCGATAGGGCCGTGAACGCACTGACACGCCGGGGTGAGCCTTACCCTTATGTTAAATAAGGCTTGTGCGTCCTGGCAGGGGGGAAAACACGTCAGCATACAGCTGTTGCAACCTGGCTATGTCTGTTTTCTGGGATGGCGAAAGATGGTTCTCAGAGTGGAGCAAGGCAGGATTGGCCGACTTTGGTACCTCAGGCCCCAACTCATTTCTCTCCGCAATTGCCGTCACCAGTGAAACAGACTCCGCCTCTTTTCAAGCTTTAAGGAGGTTGAGGTGATAAATCTGTGTAGCCCCTCCCCTGTCAGATCGCTCAAGCTCATAGTCAACGTCACCTACTCGTCATGTGACCACAAAGGGCCCTTGCCACTTGGCGAGTAATTTAGAGCTGGAAGATGGGAGCAATACAAGTACTTTATCTCCCGGTGAGAATTTTCTTAAACTGGATCCTCTGTTTTACAGCCACTGTTGACGTTCCTGGGCCTGGAGCAAATTCTCTCGTGATAACTGCCCAAGTGTGTGGAATTTTGCTGCAGGTCCAGGACGTACTGAACATCGTTTTTACTGGGGCTTGGGCCGTCCTCCCAGCTTTCTTTAACCAGGTCCAACACCCCATGTGGTTTCCTGCCAAACAGTAGCTCAAAGGGAGAAAATCCTGGGAGGCCTGGGGTACCTCCCGCACTGCAAACAACAGAGGGTTCAGCCATTTTTCCCAATTATGATTATCATCGTGCACAACTTATGGATCATGGACTTCAAAGTCTTATTCAGGCCCTTCACGAGGCCGTAAGTTTGAGTGTGGTACACACTGGTCCGAATCGACTTGATGTCCAACAAACCGTAAAGCTCTCTCAGTGTCCGTGACATAAATTGAGTGGCTTGGTCAGTAAGGATCTTTTTTGGGATCCCGACTCGGGAAATGACCTGAAACAGTGCCTGCGCCACACTCTTTGCAGAGATGGTACTGCCTCCGGATATCGGGTTGCGTAATCCACAAGGACTAACACAAACCGATATCCGCGTGCGCTCCGGTGGAATGGCCCGATCAGGTCCATCCCGACCCGTTCAAACGGGACCTCCATCAGAGGGAGGGGACTCGGGATGGCTGCTGGATTAACCAATTGGAATTCCGGGCAGACCGCACATCAGCGGAGCACGTCAATGCCTGGCCCATAAAATCGGGCCATTATCCAGTTTAGCGTTTTGTCATACCCCATGTGGCCAGCCATTGGGTTATAATGAGACGCCTGGAAACCGTTTTCCCGGCGGCTTTTTGGTACCAACAACTGGGTAATCACCTCACTCGTCTGAGTGTCACGACTGCGTTCCCACACAATACTTATGCGCGCGGTCGGAATAAGTGATGGTTGCCCACTTTCATTCAGGATATCCTGCATCATTCGCTCAAATAAATGTACAATTTGAGGCTTTACCTTTTATAAGACGGTCCACTGAGTTTTGCAATAGGTTTCTGCTCGGCAATAAAACAAAATTGAGTTGAGGGGCTGTAGGTTACCTGTTGTTGTACAATAGACCATCTGAAAAAAAAAAAGTACATCATAATAGATTTATCGTTACACAGAATGCCACTAGGCAAGACAAGAACATTCTATATTCTGTGTCCTGAAGACTTCACTGTGTCACTGAATTACTTATCATTTTTAATTTCTCTGGTATTATTTGTTGTAGTATAAAAATGATGCACTAGTCACTTTAGACAATTGTTCCCCTCTTAGGTTGCATTTATTTATTTATTCTAACCCTGTATCGAAAGTGTTGGACAGAATCTTCCCTCGTGATAACTTAAGCTTTTTTAATCTTTTTTATTCACTTGTAAAAAACCTTTTTTTTTCTATTTAGAAATCCATCCTTTATCAAACATAATTTGAAAGCCTTATGTCTAAAAGCAGATACTAACGCACATTGATAGGATTACAATTCATTTATTTTTTGTTGAAAATGTTATTCAAGCTCAAGGGTTTCAACAATTTGGCAGAATTATTCAAACAAAACATTTTTATTATTTTTCAGCGGTTGTCAAATAAATTTATTTAACTTTTTTCTGCCTGGTGGAACATTTAGACATCCAATAACAGTAAACCCAAAAAAGGGGGAACAAAAAGATTTGAACATTTATTTTTAATGATTACAAATAAAAAGTTTAGTTTTAATTTACATTTCCATTGTTAGTGATTCAGTCAGGTACATAGTCAACAACCAAAAAAAAGAAAAGTTGTGATCGCCTGAAGCAGAAGAAGCTTTCACAGAAAAATTAACCTCAAATGCAACACCTGAACACCACAGCAACCATCAAACGTCCCCCAGCTGCAGGCACAAACTCACAGCTGCTCTTATTCCAACAACAAACTACCTGAATGCTGTTTTTTTCCCCCACATGGTTTTAGAGGGCATTCTATCACTGCATCACAATGGGACAATTTAAGGCTTTACCCCGTTAACACTGTGTAATAAGGAACAATATATTGTCTAATTACTGTTTAATAAGGACACTTTATGTCAGCCTCTTAAATTATCACTTGCTTTGAAAAATGTCTGAGTTTGGAATGACTGGATTAGAAATAATCTGTGATCAGCAGGTTAAAAGCTCTGTTTCTGGCAGAAGCTCTCCGATAGGTGAGTGGGCTGCACACTTCACATCTTGGAGGACGCTGCGATAGCCGAGGCTCCTGGACGGCTGTACACCCGGACGTTTGTGTTCTGAGACGAACAAAGACACAAGCAATTAAATCAATAAAAAAAGACAGCAAGCCAACTGTTACTCACACAGAGCGAAAACCGTTTTCAAACCAAGATTTGCTCCACTTCTGAAAAGCCTTATTTGACACCAGACAAACAGATGCACAGAACCCGTCTGTGTTTAACGGTTCAGCAGTATAGGAACGGGGCCTGCAGGTAGCCCTTATGCTAACGGTGTCCCCTGGTGTGTGGGGAAAGTGCTTACCTTCTTGGCCTCTGCGTTATACTTGTTGAGCAGAGTCTGCACCCTGTTTCCATAGTCTGGATGGATAGCCTTTAAGTTCTCCACCTGCAGGAGGAGCATCAGTAAAGCAGCAGGTTATGACCAGCCCCCTGTGCTTGCTTTAGTATTTTATTACAATTAGAACTGAGCGACTTGTGAAACATAATGTGACAGTTGCATAAAAATAAATAGAAAAAAAAATCATCAAGAGGCGTGGGAGAATGAGAACCTCACAATTGCAAACACTGCAGAGGGCTGCTTTACCCCCCATACAGGGTGTTTTTGCCTCTGTGTGGTTTGGTGGTGAGAGTCAGACGAAGAACTGGAAACTTAACCGACACACAGAGCCACTTTAAACATTCAGGAAAAGGGGGGGTGGGGGGGGAGTAATGTCTGCTGCTATTATTCATTCCGTTTTCGATCTCTGAAGCATTGGAAACAATTACTTGAAAAAGAAAACCTACAAAATACCTTTTTGGCAATACTGACAAACTCTTGTTTGTGTGTTTTACTTCTTTTTTTTTTTTATATTCCAGTTAGTAAAAAAAATATTTGTAAAAACCCACACAACCACAGTGCACGCTCGCTGGAACATTTAGTGCTCTCAAGACAACATCCTCTGGCCTAAAAAAAAGAGCTTCAAACCTCAAACACGCCAACTTTCCCTTTTCTAACTGACACTGTTTGGTCAAGTCAGTGTGTTTCTGAGTCACATCTCCCTCTTTCAGATCAAACATTTAGGAAAGCGGTAAAGGGAGAGGGATAAAGGAGAAGCCGGCTGGGTGGGACGCACACGACGTGGACTCACCATCCTTTTCTGGATAAAGAGTTGGGCTCCTTTCAGGGAGCCGGCAAAGTTCTGGCAAAGTCTCTGGCGCTCTTCCTCATTCAGGACTTGGGTGTAGAAGGCACGAACCTGCAGTCATACACACACACACACACACACACACACACACACACATAAACACACACACACGTTAAATTTGAATCTGTCAGATAAAAACTAAATTAAATCCATTTTAATAGAATTTGTTTGGGATACTATTACCATAAAGAAATGCTGGCAAATTTATATAAGAGTTAATTCTACATTTAAAAAGGCAATAAAACTCCTTATTCAAGAAGGGAAAAAAAAGGAAAAACTATTTTTCTGGAGTTGTTTCTTCATTCATTGCTGAGAGCACCCCTGACAGGCGTGAAACATGACAGGATAGGTCGGGAAGAAAAACCCAAACGCACGTGGCTGTAAGGTGTTCAGCTGACCTTTAAATATCAATTTAACTAAAAATGACAAAAACAAGCTTCACAGTGTCTACAGATTCTGTGTTGATGCGTCTCGAAGTCTTTGTGTAATCGTTCCTAACCACCATGGCCTTTTAATTGTAGAAGTAACAGAAATGTAGCCACATCTGAGGATTGCCGTGGGTTGAGTTCAGTGCTTTACCTGCGTCACATTGTCCTCGTCTTCACTGTTGTAGCGGCCCACGTCCGGGGACACCTTGAACTTGGACTCCACAAACCGAGGCTGGGTGTCTGGGGCGCTGAAGCTGTTGGGGAAGTAGTTTGGAGCTCCACCTACAGGTCAGAAAGACCAGACGCTAATGAGCCGGAGAGGAGGAAAAGAAAACGCTGCTGAGGGCTAAACTGAGAAAGAATAAGATTTAACAAAAAAAAAAAAAAAAAGAAGAAAGAGTGATGCCACCCTGAACATAATGTGTTTTTCCACCCATTAGGATGTGTAACAATGATAATGGAAAGGCTTTATTATTATTTTTTTTTACAAGTGGCTCAGCTTTTCAAAGCTAAAAAGGAACCCTGAATGGAATCCATTTCCAGAGGAGTTGAAAAGAGGATGTTTAGGATTCAGGGGGCTATGGAGGGAAATGAGGAGGAATTGTGAAAAAAACAACCTTCAAGCCCTGATGAAGGGAAATATTTATATTTCATAAAACAAATACAGATTGAAGAGATGAAGTAAGTTAGAAACTCAAAGTCCGACCCCTGGACACAGCTATAATACAAAATGGTGACATCTAGTGACAAAGACTAGGTACTTCAGCTCAAAGACCACAGAGTGGAAAAATTCTACAATTTAAAGTTGAGTTTGTGGTCACTGAAGCCTTCAGTAAAAAAATAAATAAAAAAATAAAATAAAAAAATAAAATAAAATAAAAAACATGATTGACACTGAGTCAAACAGTTTGCCTCGTTTGTGATATCAAATGTGTAAAAATGGAGCAACTTATTTATCTATGGAAACATAACAGGAAAATTGACCAGCCAGTCACTCAGTTTAAGAGCAGATACTCTACAGACTGAACAAAAACTGAAGTCTTTGCTAATCTCTAAACATTCGTTTAGAGATTAGCAAAGGGGGGGGCAGGGGGCAGTAGTGCACAACTGGCAACCTGAACATCTGGGAATGCAGCAACAGCCGAGGGGGTGTAATGTTTTAAGAACTTATAATCCCATTCAGTTAACACCCTTAAATGGGTCTGAACCTAATGCTGTATCCATTACATCAGCATGATAGTAGAAGAAGAATCAGAGGGCTGAACTATCTATGGATAAATATTCAACATGTCAAGGAATGCAGAAGACGACTAAGAGGATCCTCAAATGTTGAGCAATTAAACTCTTATCAGACAAGAACATTCCTCTGAGCAGCAGCTGCTTTTCTTCTGATTCTAGATGCTTTATCGTGACTGCCCAGACGCTGCACAGTGAAAAACATGGTCCCGTTTCTTTCTTTTTTTTTTTTTTACAAAGAAATAATTTAAAAGCTTTTATATCCTAATGTGAACCACACATGGTGAGTACCTGTGGCAGATTTTAATCTAAAACAGGCTCAGAGTGGTTGACTTTATTCGTTCATTTGGAGTTTAACAAATATATATGAAAACTTTATACGCTGAAATCTCCTGCATTTAAAAAAAAAAAAAATTTCACTCGTTCCTACTCTTGTGGTGAAAACTGAAAGATAGAATGATAAAAACAAAATCCATCTTTCAGAGTCTTCTATGTGTGCACAGCTGAGTGACGGGGCTTTTTCCCCACCTAAGAAAAGCCTAAGACAAGTTCTTCTCTTTTACACCATCAAATTATCACACAGAAAAAGAAAGATCCCAATCATCACCCGTGTGAAACGCAGCACTGCACGGTGACTGACCTTGGTTGTCGAACATGCACATTGGACCGTCGCGCTGGTAATTGGCCACCCGCGCCCGGAAGGGACAGTTGACGGGGATCTGCAGGTAGTTGGCGCCCAGCCGGTGTCGGTGCGTGTCGGGGTAGGAGAAGAGGCGGCCCTGCACAGAACGCCACAGGAGGGTCAAACACGCACGCCGGGGACGACTTCCTCCTCCTCCTCCTCCTCCTCCTCTGGCCTCGTGCTACCTGCAGCATCTTGTCGGGGCTGGCCTCGACGCCCGGGGGCATGCTGCTGGGGTCGAAGGCCAGCTGCTCCACCTCTGCAAAATAGTTGACTGGGTTCCGGTTGAGGACCATTTTGCCCACAGGGATCAAGGGGTATTCTTTATGCGACCAAACCTGAAGCACAGCGGAGGGGGAAAAAACACATTCCAAGTGTCACACCCTAATTGTCTAAATAAGCGGCGCTACAAGAGCTTTAATTCAATTCAATTCAATGTTATCTATATAGCGCCACATCACAACAACAGTTGTCTCACAGCGCTTTCCAAACAGAGCAGGTCAGACCCTACTCTGAAGTTAATTACAGAAACCCAACAATTCCCACCAAGAGCAAGCACTAGGCGACACAGGCAAGGAAAAACTTCCTTTTAACAGGCAGAAACCTCGAGCAGAACCATGGCTCAGGGTGGGCGGCCATCTGCCTCGGTCGGTTGGGGAAACCTTTACAACCCAGTTTGGCGTGGTGTGGTACCTTAGTAAGATCGAAGGGATTAAACTGGAACTTCTCAGCCTGCTCGAAGGTCATGACCTGAATAAAAAAGCTCCAGGACGGGAAGCTGCCATTGGCAATTGAATTGAACAGGTCTCCGATGGCGTAATCTGGGTTGGTGGATGCCAGGTGATCTGCCTGCTCCACTGACAGGTTCTTAATCCCTTGATCGGTCTGGAGAAGAAAAAAAAACAAACAAGAGAAAAACAGAATCAGTCACGACGTGATGTTGATACAAAAAAAAAGAAACAAAGAAACAAACAGCCAGCCAGTGGGCCTGAGATGAGTCCCACCTTGAAGTGGAACTTGCAGTAGAAGCGCTCGCCGTCGGCGTTCACCAGTTTGAAGGTGTGCGAGCCGTAGCCGTTCATGTGGCGGTAACCGTCCGGCAGGCCGCGGTCGCTGAACAGGAAGGACACCTGTATGGAGGCAGGATCCCGTGTATTCAGCTAAATATCTCCACCGTATACGCGGGCCCTTCGCTCTAAGCCGGCATGGGGGGGCAGCCCACCTGATGCAGACACTCGGGCCTCAGGCTCCAGAAGTCCCACACCATGTCAGGGTCCTTCATGTGGGTCTGGGGGTTGCGCTTCTGGGAGTGAATGAAGGACGGAAACTGCAAGAGGGGGAAAAAACTTCGTTTGACATTTTGCTCTCAACTGAGGGGATAAAACCTTCCAAATGCGGCCAAAACCATCTGCATGTGCTAGAGGGATTTCAAATGGACGGATGGCGGGGCGTCCCACTCACCAGCAGGGCATCCCTGATGAAGAATATGGGGGTGTTGTTGCCCGTCAGGTCCCAGTTGCCCTCCTCGGTGTAAAACTTAACAGCAAAGCCTCTGGGGTCTCTGACTGTGTCTGCTGACCCAGACTCCCCAGCTGGATTCAAAGGAGGGGAGGGGTTTAGCGAATAAAACGTGAAATTCTGACAAGAGACCTTTAAATCCCACCCACTCAAACCGCCTTTAGCCCGCCCGGTGACCGGAAACCATCCAAATTCAAATGACATGTGATATATGGGCATTTTAATTGTTTCAAATAGTGTTACATCTGAAAACAAGTCTATAAATCAGAAACTTCTATGAGCTTAAATAAAAATCAGACTCTGCAGAGTTTACTTTTCTAAGAATTCTGAGACCACCGTAACACAATTCATTCAGATTCTTCTTATTCTTGAGCTTGTTTGTGTTTCCACCCACAAACCTACTTGTTGCTTTCTGTTTAAACAAAAAATGTTAATCGGCATATGCAGCTATATTTATTGAACATTTCCAACTGTGAAGACTGTCCAAGGCTTCAGGAAATAAGTTATGTAAGGCTACAAGCTATGAAATATTTAAAAAATAAATAAATAAAATTGATTTGAAATACATGTTTCTACTAGAAAGTAAAAGTAAATTGAGAACCATACAACAGGTATCAAATATATATATATATATGTATATATACTGTATATATATATTTAATTAATTAACTGTAGCCTCCTCTGCTCTATGTGTGTATCAGGCAATGTCTGAGTGTCTTCATGAGTATCATTGAAACCCGTACGTGATATCCTGGGAGGTTTGCATAATCCAAACCTTGGACTTGCTTACAATAGCAGACACCTACCCTTTGCTTTTATGTGCTTTTGTTACATAACTGTCGAGGTCTGAATGAACCACGTCCGTCCAGACAATGACCCAACAACCGGGTCATACATAATCCCACAGGGTGTGCTTTCATAATTCTTACCCACAGTGGAGAAACGGACAGCAACTGGCGTGGATTTGCCGACATGTTCGAACACCCTGGCCTTGCAGTAGCGAGTGATGTCATGAGTGACCTCAAAGTAGCCGAACGCCCCTGCGTCAAGGGGGAAAATGTTATAAGCACATGTCCTTTTTCCTGGGTTTCCTGTGAGTTCTGGGTGTTGCTATACATCAACACTGGAAACGATGAAGGACCAGCCAACAACCTGTTTAAAATAGTGGGACTTTGATTGTTAAATTTGGTGAGATTAGCATTTGTCGAGAGCAAATCCACATAAAAACAGCCACCATTAAAATGAAGAATAACAATATATTTCTGTAGCTTTTTCCACTTTATAGATACTCTTTGATACACCCCAGAAAGAGTCAGTAGAACCTTTTATGAGTCGTACCAGCCTGTGCAGGGAACAGGGAACAAACTCCACAGAGCAAAGCAATGGTTACCCAATACCCACCTGCCCCTTTGGCATGCACCACCCTCTCTGGGATTCGTTCCCGATCAAAGTGGGCCATCTCATCTGTAAAGACCACATCCTGGACCAGCAGAGGGCCTCTGGGTCCCGCGGTCTGCAGGTTCAGCTTGTCTCCAACAGGATGGCCGGCCCCTGTGGTCAGTACATCTGGTTTCTGATAAACAGGGGAAAAAAGCAAGTTTATAATTTAGCACTTTTGTTTAAGATCCCTTGCACTGCTATAGGACCTTTGCAAAGGTAATCCAGTGGTAGAATGATCATTAGTTTTGTATATATCCAGAGCTTAATGCCCATCTCAAATGGTTTGTGTAAGCGTGAGGAAATAGTAAACGTTAGGAACCCTTTAGGAAAACAAATCCTGTAATAACACTCAAACAAGCACGGAAATGATTGTGCACATATGTAAACAACGGGGCTCAGTATTGTTAGCATTGACAACTTCCGCTATACGCAGCAGCTCAAATAAGCCTGAAAATACCTAAGCATGGGCGACATGGACTTCGGCCATTCAAGAAGACTCCAGCTGTTTGCTCTAATGTGCTCCTGTTATATAACTTAGAGGGTTTAAGTTCAGCTACGTTCCTCTGGACAATGACCTACATTGTTTTTTAACACCAAAGTTCTTTTCTAACGCTAATTTCAGTGCTTATTGAGTGACTAAAACGGTTTTAAAAAATGTAAACAGGGCTGGCAGCTAACTAAACATATTTGTTTTTGTACTACAGAGTTTCTCCATTAAACAGCATTTAAAAAACCCATTTACAGTAAAGGCTCCTCAAGTACTTGCTAACAATACTTTGGTTAAACACAGGTTCAGGTTTTGTCTTTTACCTCAGACGACCTCTCACCCATTTACCCCGAGACGTTCGCGACTACGCAAGAAAAAATAGTCCTTCAAATGCATGCATATACAAACCTGAGAGCTTCTGCTCTCCTTCCAAATCTTCATTTGGTCAGTAGTCTTATCTCTGTTGTCAGCCATATCGACAGCCTAACGCCGAAACACAACCGGACCAGACAGTGGGCAGGAGAAGTAGCGAGAAAAACGCTATCGGTGGTGTCCTGGTATCAGAATGATGTTTCCTGGACTTTGTCCGGGATAAATCCGCCCCCCCTGCACCCCTCGCTTCTGATTGGCTAATACGTGAGAACTGACCTACATTTGACAGCAAGAATCTCACTAAAGGTCGTCCGTTGTCTTGCGTGCTCGGAATTTCCTTTTGTCACCTCAAAAGACATCTTCACAGGTTGAAACACTAAACCTTGCCATGCAAGAGCCAGATTATTTATTCAAATCATTCAAAGTCAGACACATATTTTCTGTGGAATTTCAACTACTCTTACTATCATACGTAGATCAGAGACTTGATGTAAGCACGTACTACCTTAAAAAACTTGCCAGGAAAACAAGGTAAAAAAATTCTGAGTAATTTTTATTATTTCTGCAAAATGTATCCATACTAACAATTTGACATGAATTTGTCTTCCATTACATACAATTACCTGCTGTTTTACCATTATTACCCTTTTGTTGTTAACATATTCTTTATTTTTTTGGATCAGATATAGTTTATACTTAATTAAACTCTGCATAAGTATGATCAGATTACTTGATTTCACTTTTATCATTGGAACACAGAGAACAGGATTTGCCATGATAACTGCCTCTTATTTTTTAAACAAAAGAATCCATCACATGATCTGCTCAGAAAGATGGCGTGATGAGAGTCGAGGGTGTGCTTAATTTAAAAGACTATGATTTTATAAAGCCACCCAGACTTATCTGAATTACGGCTTTGTTAATTTCCCATCACAAATAATTCAATATATAATGTAATACCAATGAACCAGACCAGATGTTAATCTACACTGTCCACAGACTCTCAGTAGGAGACAAAAATCTTGTCAAAAGGGGTAAGATCTTAAAACTGGGATCATGGTGTTTCTTTCCACAAACCTAGGATGCAACACGTGGTCAGTTTTACTGTTCAATTGCTTTTTATTTGAAACAGCATTCACACAATACACTGGATTGTTGAGGCACATTCACATCAAGTGCTAAATAACTTCATGCATGATCGAATGTGGGCTACAGCGCTGTAGATGCAAATGCTGACTGTAAATGAAAATATTGCTTCATTATTTGGCACGGTAGGAAATGTTGTGTATCAGGTGAGCAAAGGTGTTCATTTAGTTTTGTTTCAAATTGGAAAACCTTTGACCAGCACGGAGCTAAACCAAAGGATGAGGAGTCAGTTCTGCTTGGATAAGTGAAACAATGCATGAGGCTTTTAGAGTTAGATACTTCACATGATCAGTCACATTCAAAAGGTTACAACAAAAACACTGTTTCACAATGTTGTTGAGAAAATCTAAAAAGCGGCTTAAAAGCCACCTTGACAGTCTGAGCTTTACAAGATGCTTGTCACACGGTCTCTGTCTGAACTGAAAGACCTTTTATGAACTGAGTTCAACTTATCGGAACTCCAGGAGTGATACTTTTTTCTTTTTTTTATTTTTTATTATACAACAAGAACAGAAATACGTGTGACAAGAACCTGGTGAAAAACAACAATAGATTTATTTAGAGTACCAAGGTTTTCTCTCGAACATAGAACAAACCCATGGAAAGAGGTTAGTATATTTTACATCACAAGTTAAATTCCCAGAGATGTTTTAATAATGGATCTATAATCAGCAGTGATATCCATGGTAAATATAGTGGTGTATGTGTGGAGTTTGGTTTTTACTGATAGTCGTACAGTGATAAACATGATTTGCACCCAGAATTTTGAGGAACAAATGTCGGTAGTGCATTTTTTTACGGTGGGAAATACGCTTATGCAACTGGTATTGCATTTAAAAAAAAGACCAGTGTGAACATTACATTTAAATGATGGTTACATCTGATTTGGCCACCCTGCAACAACTGCTACAAATAACGATTATTTCACCTGGATAAGAGTACCTGGATATTTTCAAAAGCACATTAAATACTAAACATACCAAAACCTCTGTTACTTGTAAATCTCACAGTTAATAAATTACACAAGCAAAATCCATCGGAGCTACCTCCAGCAAGCTCCATCTTCCCAATACAGAATCAGTCACGTAGGCGCAATCAATGACTGGTTTGAAAAGACAAATGTGTGTTTTCCTGAAAGAGAAGCAATGCCCCCCCTCCATCTAGTCCATCGTTGTCTACACAGCTATAAGAGGCTACACCCGGAGTCGGCACCATGCAGAGGGAGGGGCTGTGCCCACCAAGGGAGGGCTTCTAATTTTTTTTTTTCTTTAGTTGAACTCACCCAAAAGTTCAAAAAATGAAATGTTTAATCCTGATGTGTGAAAGAGAGACAGAGAGAGAGAGAGAGAGAGAGAGAGAGAGAGAGAGAGAGAGAGAGGGAAGGAGAAAGAAAAATAAAAACTCACTTTTTTATGTCTTCTGCTGCTTTTCCTAGAGAAGAATCCCACTTGAATCACAGATTCTGTTAAGTCGAATGAGCAAGAAGAACACTTCCCTTTTTGAAAGCCCAACGTTTATTTACTTAGAATAATAAACGTGATCAGGGGATTAGGAAGAAAAGAACATATAGAACTAAACTATCCTTTCTGATTGCTCTCCCTTGTATGAAGAAACTGCGTTTCATCATGTGTGACCATTCATAGATGTCCTCTGCTGGGCACTACTGAGCTAACTGAACACTGTAAAAGATCTAAACATGGCACCAAACGAGGCAGGAGTCCAAAGGAACGTGAAGAAGGGAGCGTTTCGAGTGTGAATGTGTGCAAAGGCGACTAGATCCTTCGTAGAGGGTGCCACATGGACACGGGCTTCCGTAGGGTGGCCAGCATCTGGTTCCAGTGGGTGATACCCATCCCGCTGGCCTCGGGGCCGATGATCACGTGACCCAGGTTCTCGCCGCGGCCGTCGTCCGTGGCCTCGGCCACTGTGACCCTCAGGGAGAGCTCCTGCAAACAGAGCAGGACATATTTACTGCTTTAAGCGACGCAGTTTTACCGCATTTCAAAACTTCTATCTAATTTTGTAAGTGTAAGAAATACATTTACATTTTTGCCCATGAAAACGTCCAGGGTGGAGGTTGTAATGATATCATTATTATGATATCTGACATGAACTGTGAAGCTACATCCTGTTCTTCTGAAGATGGGTCAAGAAGGTGATAAAGAACTGAGAAAGGACAGTGGTGATGTTGTGGTGGGGCTCAAAACATAAAATATGTTATGGGAAGTCCTTTAGCTGAAAATACCTGAATAGGAATAGTTTTTTTGTTTGAGCTTACTAAAAGTTTAACTTTTCACTCAAATGTGTTTAGTATCTTGATTAGGATCCAACATTTAGGAATGATTGTCCTTTCACCTTGTAATCTTTTTAACATGCTTCATATTTTACTCCGGCTTTCATAGAATTCCCTTACCGGATTTGTTTCTAAGCGCCTCATTCTGGAGCTGCCTGCACCGTGAAACCTTAGAATAGGATTATGTGCTGATGAAACAAGGGAGATCCAAGGCAATAGCTACATGCTATTTGGAATCATGTTCCACTAGACGGCTTCTTTATTTTTTTGCCATTGTGAGGAAAATAAACTGGAAACGGCCGCCCCCTTCTTTTATGCCGTGTCATCAGTCATTCTGGGAATTCAATATGTGGAGAGAAAATTAGTCCTGCGTGTATTATTTTTTTGGTGTTGGTTAATTTCTCAAGAGGTTGCACATTTCTGCTTGAACCAAATGACAGCTTAAACAAATTTGAACTTTCTAAAATTGGCCTTCAGTTAGATTTGAATCAAACTGAAACCTGGTTCTCGCAGTTCATTTGCACCGTCCGAACAGAGCTGATGTTTTAAGCTGCTCATATGTGTATGCATCAGTCTCATTACACCTTCTGAAACAGCTCCAATAGTTGTTTCAACATTAGTTTCAATATCTGCCTTGTAACACTTTATTTCTTCATTAGTTGGTAAATTTACAGAATCTTTAAGCAGGAAGTGTCTTGGGATCCTTTTTCTCTCACGCATGAAAGTACTACACACGGGTCATAAAATGCTCAATAAATCCATACTAATAAATAAAGAACAAGAAAACAATACTGGAGAGGTTTGAATAAGAGACGCCTGCTATCTGTGTTAGTCTGTAACTAATGTCAGAGCAGCTCTCTCATTTTATTTGATGTTTTTGGCTGATTGTCATTCTCCTCAACTTTAGTTTTTCCCCTCAATTTAGAGAGATGTTTCTGCATTTAGGGAAAATCTGGGCACAGTCTACGGAAAGCCTCACCTGCAGGACGATGGACGGCACAGAGAAGATCATGGCTTCATTGAAAATGGGGTTTGTGTCATCCCTCTTTGTGGAAGTCTTCTTCTTGCTTATCTTTCTGCCATCTTGCAGAAGATACACTTTGACAAACGGATCTGATGAAGAGAAGGAGAAAAGGTGTCTTAGTCCCTCTACAATCCATCTTACACGTAAATAAGTGAACATGCTCAGGCTTTGCTGACCTTGCTAATACCTTGCTAATAATACCTCATTAAAATGAGGCTAACACATTAACTCTCTACATGTTAACAATGTTTTCGACAGGTGGCTTCTATCAGGGGGCGGCACAGTGGTGTGGTGGTTAGCAAGAGGGTTCTGGGTTCGAATCCCGGGGGAACCAGGACCTTTCTGGGTGGAGTTTGCATGTTCTCCCTGTGTCTGCGTGGGTTCTCTCCGGGTTCTCCGGCTTCCTCCCACAGTCCAAAAACCTGCATGTTAGGTTGGTTGGAGATTGGGGAAATTACCCTTAGAAGTGAATGTGAGTGTGAGTGGTTGTTGGTCCTTGTATGTCCTGTGTGTGGCCCTGTGATGGACTGGCGGACTGTCCAGGGTGTACCCTGCCTCTCGCCCGTTGACCACTGGGATAGGCTCCAGTTCCCCCCGCGACCCCATCAGGGAATAAGCGGTATTGATAATGGATGGATGGATGGATGGATGGATTCTATCAGTAGAATGTTACAATCAGGAGTCTGTTAAGACCCTTTGCTTTTTTCTATCCTGACCAATTAATACTAAGTCATTGAACATTTTCTAGAGCATGAAGCATCTTACATGTAGGGCACAAAAACAGAAGCATATTAAGAGATAAAAAAAAAACTGGTGGAATAGATTAAATCCTCTGACCTGCAGTGTTTTTTTCATTGGTCCACACCAGGTTCTTGCACTTGGCCACGACCACAGTGAGGCGCTCTGCTGTCGGCAAGTAGCTGAGAGACAGCAGGATTTCCCCCACTGCATCCACAGCCTATTGAGCCGAGTACGGAAGAGAAAAAACAAAAACAAAACAGAGAAATCTTTTAAAGCCTTTGACACAATATTTCATCTGTTAGCAGCAGGAATTTGGCTTTTCAGAGCCTCTGATTTTTTACTACTGGGAATTGTACCTACTTTCTTACCATTTCCTTTTACCAGGTTAACCATCAGAGGCAAAGATTTCACTATATGTAACAATATCAAAATAGTAAACATTCAACATCTTGAATAGTTGGTAATTTTAACATCAACCCCCTTCATCATTTTAAGATTGAATAGTTGAATGCAATTATACCAAAGAAAGTGAAAATAATCCTTTAAAAAAAGATTAGGACTTCCCCCCTTTCTCTACTCTTTGCCAGCTTTTATATGATTCTTGTTTGCCTGACATGGTTTACAATACACAAACTATTTAGCTGTAAGATACATATTTCAAAGGAATATTTCAGCAACAGAGAGGCATTGTGATAAATCAAAGGGTAAGGTTAATTGTAAAACACAGAGCGTGTTATTTTCTTGTGGAGGAAGCTTGACTAATGATGTAATATCATCATCATTTTGGGAGATAATTACTGCTTGATTCGTCTTAAAAGGCTTGTTTATTTAAATGAAAAGGTCTGACTTGCAATTTCATCCATGTCCAGCAGGGGGTGTCAGACACCACCAGGCTGTGCAGCACATCAGTGCAATGGATGCTAAGCATTTGAAGCCTATGGGTTACGTATCAAACATGAGAAAAGAGCTGCAAAAATCCAGAATGACTGTATTTTTTTTGCTAATCTTGCACGTTACTGTAATTTGTTGCACATCGTACCTTGTTGACATCCTGAAGGTAGAGCCAGGCGTTGAATGGCCGGATGGTCAGGTCCAGGTCGGACAGCTTGAGCTCCGCCAGGCCAGCACTGATGTTTCTTTCGTCTGCATCAATACCAAAACCGGCAAAGCGCAGGCTGTACTCGTCCAGAGCGGATATGTCCATAGGAACAGAGAAGCGCTCATCAAAGATAACGGTGAATGCATTCGTCTGGACCTGTGGGGGGGCAGATGAAGGCAGGCTGATATGTTGGATTGCATAGTTTAATGAGCGAGAACCAAACATCTAACTTGAAGTAGCTAAACTTGGAGTCATATTCTGTGCGCTGTGATCAGTCTCAAGTGGTCCTGGAGGACCAGATTTGGTTCCACTCCTCTTTACAATATACTTTGTTTTATTCACAGCTCACCAAAAGTACTTCCAAAGCATTTTCCACCATTGAACTGACCCTTGCGGCACCTTGATTTATCTTTTGCAGTCATTATTTTACACAGTTGAAGCTTTGTTTGGGGTCATTGTCCAGTTGCATGATCAGATTTAAGCCAAGCATTTGATCGAAGAAAACCAGGGAGCAGTAAATTTTGGACCCAAACCATCATATCTCCACCACCATGCTTGACAGTTGCTATGAGGTGTGTTTATATTTTTCCAAACAGGATGCTGTGCATTGTGGCCAAACAGCGCCCCTTTGGTATGTAACTGTTTCCCACCGTTATTACCATCACAAAACACTGCTATGTAAATAAAATGTAAATATAGATCTGTAAAGACGTTTAAAAAACACTGGGACTTGAAGAGTTTTCATAAGTCAACAGCTCTCACTGACAAATGGCAAAACAACAACTCGTCATATAACTATTGAGAATTCAGAGGTCTGCAGATCACGTTGACCGTGCCTCCTATCAGAAAGAGACGAACACACAGCACCTGCACAATAATGATTTAAAAAATGCAAGAAACTGTAAATTATGCCAAAAAACACAGCAAGCTCTTTCTTGCACCCACAACAAGAAGTTGTCTGTCTACAGGGATCTCACAGAAGATAACAATGGCAAAGTGCGTGGGAGAATTAGACTATTGCATTGCAAAGAAAATCAGGAAGTAAAAGGAGTAAAGCCAGAGAAAACGAGATGAGAAAAAGGAACAAAGCAAGGGAGGAGAGCTGGACCAATGAAGAAAAAGTTAAGCAGGGACAGGAATGAGACCCTGGAAAGGAGGACGGACCAGGAAAAGCAGGACAGAGAAGTCTGCTTGACCATCAGCACTCTAATTCCTTCTTATTAAAATGCTAATGCCACAGATCATTGGCTTCTTCAAGTATTGTTATTACTGTAATTATCATCATTATTATTACACCAAGCTTGGATGGATTTGAAAAAAAACATGTTAAACAGGGAATCAGATTGGGCTGAGTGAGCACGTCGGCCTTTGAAAACTGCAGAAGCCCAGTCACACAGCAGAGGGATGACTCACAGTCAGGCAGGACTTGGACTATTTTTTGGCAACGCTCATCTGAGAGCAGAAGGCGAATGGCAGGAGGAATGGAGCAGATGGAGGAATGTGGCCCCTTTCTGTTCCTGTCGGAGCACTTGTTTCATATTAGAACAGAAAGCTTTTTACTATGCGTATTTATGGTCATGTGAGACAGTAAACGCGGCCTAACATCTGGCCCTTAGCTGGTCTTAGACGCAGGTAAATTCAGCCTCAGGTGAACAATGATAAATGTCATTGGACATTTTGTCTGGTCTAAATTCAGGTGTGCGAGGACACACTTCCAAGGAGGAAAGACATCAGCCAAGTTGTTAGGAATGTGATTCATGCTGCCATTTAAAAAAAAAAAGTGATGTCTATATTCTATTTATACATGGTTTGACAACAGTCAAAGCAGTTGTCATTCACTCCAAGCTAAAAAAAACAGATAAATAAAAATGGTAAAAGAAAGGAGCTACATCTCAGACTCTCTGTGCCTCGGCCTGTATGCTCAATGACAGGAAAAACCCAAATATTCAATTAGAATGAAAACAATAATGGCTTGTTTTGACGGATGATAAGTGTCAAATAAAAAAACATCTCTTTTAAAACCTAAAAATAAAAATAAAATGTGGATACACAACTTAGGAGTGTCTAAAATAACTATAAGATGTCTGGATGTCATTTGGACGGACCAGATGAAAGTGAAAAGCTTTGGTCATGATGCACACTCCCATGTTTTACAAAAACTAAACAGTCAATCAATACAAATCACACCAACAAACGTGCTTTTGGTAAAATTGTTATTTGGGAGAGCTTTGCAGCATCATGGTCACCTTGAAATCACTGAAAAACCTTAACGTACTGAAGCAATGTGTCAAAACTTCTTCACAATGGTGTGAGAGACTGATGGTGTCATGCAGAAATGCCTTATTTCCTCTTTTAGTGACTGTATGTTTGATTGAAATGAAAATACAACAAAGGAGAGGCACATCTGTAATAAGATGCAATAGATGAGTATATGAGATTTTAAAAATACACAATCTAACATGTAAAGTAGGAGCTGTACTATTGCTCTTGACCGTGAAACAGTTTGGACAAACTTGGTGATCCTGGTTTTGGCTAGCTTGGTCATTTGAATCGGAAACTGCTTTACAGTCCATCCCCGTATGTCACAAATCTCAATTGAATCTAAAGTGCAGGTCAATACAAGTTCCAAGCTGAGTGACGGAATCTGTTTAATTTGCTCTTCGTGACAGTAAAACAGAGCAAACTCAACCTCCCTGACTCCCGGGCTCCTGGGAGACCAGCCACTCAGACAAATGAAATGGGCTCATCTGTTGGACAGGAAACGACTGGCTTGTCAGGCTGCAGGACGGATCGCAGTCTACTGTGATTCAACAGGGCCCAAACTGCATTGCAATGGCTCATTATCAATCTGAGCTAATCTATCTTTTGAGTCCCTTAAAAAAATAATTGTTTTGGCACATTATAACAAGAGGATGAGACTCAAATCATGAATGATTATCAGTTTAAAAAACTGGGGAAAAAAGAGCATTACATTTTATCATATATCTAAATGATGAGCAGGCATGTTTGTGTATTAGTAACATTTAAATGTCAGTAAAGTTGGTTCAGGGTTTGTGTTTATCTAATTAACAGCACTTCTTTTGAGAACAGAGTGCCAAACGCAGAAGAGGACTAATCTTGCTTACCCTTGTGACTCCCACGCTAATCTCGTCCGGCCCCAGAGAGACTCTAATAAAGCAGCCGGGAAAGTCCCCTTCCTCTTTCTCCAGCAGGTCTTTGCCCTGGTGCAGGGAGATGTGGAGCATTCCCGTCCCTTGGCCCAGCTGCCGGGACTGCTCAAACTCGAGGGTCACTTCCAGCTGGCCGACCGTGAAGTCATGGCCGAAGTTGTTGGCGATGGAGGAGATGGAGCTGAGCGAGTCGGTGGAGATGGAACGGTTGAGTTGAGCGACGCCGGTCGCGTCCAGGTCCCTGCTCATCAGCTCCAGGTGTCCCAGGTCTCTGAGGCCGTCGGGGGTTTCACCGTAGGCCAAGCTGGGCTTCCGGCTAGACGTGTTGGAGGTGCGGCGGTGGTTGTTGGCTGCCACTCTCTTATGGGAGGCAATGAAAGAGGAAATTTATGTGAACGCCTCAAGAAAACTGAGTAAACTAAAAGCCTAAAAGGTAACAAATAAGCAAAGCATAAGCTTTGGTATGATTGTTGGGTATCTTATCTAAAACTGAATGATCTTCCTTTTGTTTTTCACATTTAAGATTTTATGACAGAGCAGAACCAATGGATTTAGGTAAAATGTCTAACATATTTACACCTGCTGATGTTTCCCAAAAGGAATTATGACGTGGCAACTCTAATTCCCCTCAAGGGCTCACTTAACACCTTTGTCCCTCCATTTTAATTGACATTGTGTGATCTTAGCAGCATCTGACACAGCGTGTTGTAATAGCTTTAACATCGAACCTGGAGGAAGAAATGTTCCCACCTGCTACTCTGTAAGCATGTGTTATATTGCTCGTTATGTTTTCATTAAGTAGCTCAAACGCGAGGTAAAGGTCAAAATGATTAGTCATGTTCTTACAGAGGCCATCACAGGTCCTGCTCAGTCAATAAAACCAACAAAGGATTTCCGGGAGCAGAAATCTACCTTTTGCCTGACTTCTGAGAAGGAGGTTCCATATTTCTCTTGCAGATATCGATAGTCGAAGTTAGGGAACGGGGATGGGGCGGGGAAGGTTCCAGATTTCCACAGCTTCCAGATGTTGAGCCCAGCCGCGCCCAGCAGCAGGAGGAAGCCCACCAGGTAGATCCCCACCTCCCAGCCTGGAGGGTTATGCACCACTGAAGAAGACAACACAAACAACAAATCCTTTAATGCCACATACGGGAGCCTTGGGACTGTCTGAGGGTGGAGCTTGATCAATTTCATTTCTATGTTTTGTTATTTGGAGTCAAATATCTGAATAGAAATACCCAGAGACATTTGAATGCTCTCTAGAATAACCTGGACACCTGTGAGGGTGGCGATGGCATTTTTAGTCTAAGAAGAAAGACGATTATTGAACATGCTTTAATCTTTTGAAACCAGTGATGGTGAACATCAAATGAGAATAGATGTGAAACAGCTGCTTTCAGACTGACAGATGTCAGAATGAAAGACATAGGCGCGATCGAGGGAGAAGCCACAAGCTGTCTCCTTCATAGATTTCCTGTCGCGTGTTCATCCACGCAACGATAATCTCGCAGAAAAAAAGGACTGGAGAAATGGAAAAGCAGTCTGCGGCCTCTACTCACCACTCAGACGGTAGCCCGATAAATCCTCACTTTGAGCCGAGGACATGGTTCTGCAGCCAGCCTGCGAACACACACAGACAAGGGTTGGCTTAACAATTTTACCTTTTATACCCACAAAACCATTTTGAAAAGTTTCACTTAAATGAGACTTCCGCAGCGCCAGGCGGCCACAGACAGCCTGGAAACGGGAGAAAGTCTTCTCCCATCAGCATCAATCACGGTAACCAGTTTAGGGATGAAACAGTCCACAAGACCCTAATATCTGCTGACACCCAAAGCTGCTTCAGGAGGCACGAGCAGACCGAATGTGAAAGCGATAGCTTTCAGCAATCGGCCCTTTGATTAAATCCGCCTCAGGTGGAGGAGAAATACTCAGAGGTCAGTTGACAACCTGCTGGATTCTGGTTTAAAATGACATTATGAAAAGAAAAAAATCAATAATCCAGTCATCTTTTTTGGTCTCAGCTTTTCACACAGTCAACCAGCTCAGCCTGGTCCTCCAAACAGCATTATCCCATTATGTGACTGGCCTGAGTGGGAAAAAAAAAAAGTAACATAACATAATAGCTAAGACTAGGCTGTAGCGTGGGTTTCAATAGAACACTCCACTTTTCAAGCACTCCTTGAAAAGTGTGGCTTTGTAACCCTGCGTTAAACTGTTACACTCACTCTTATTGTTCCCTCTTAGTACAGAAAATACCCCATCCAACATTTACATAAACTTAGTCACGCTTTCATCAGTGTATAAAATGACTTTCAATTCATCTCAAAATGATTCAGGTTTCAGAAACAGCCGAGGGGGCTTAAAGTAACTTTTTTCTTTTAAAACATTGTACATAGATAGTAAATCCCCATTTCAGCAATAGAAGCACCAATGAAATTATCCAAGCATAAAATGTGTTTAATTACAATTCAACTACTAAGGTAACGTGATCTGATTGAAAAGAGTGCGGTTAAGACTGAAACATTTCAGCATAACATGTATGTGTGTGTGTGGCAGATAAATAAAACGGCATCAGGTTGGGTTTTAATGGTCTTTTCTCATCAGTGAGACGGACAATTTTTTCATGCGCCTAAACTGATAAAAAAGTAAGAAAAATGCCGGTCGCTGGTGTGTGACTCATTCCCTCCTCCCTCTTCCTTCTATGCATCTTGGAGCCTCCCCATATAGTATCTCAGTAGCTTGGGGGAAATGGGAGCATTACACAAATGATATAGACAGAAAGCGGGGGGAGGGCAACAGGATTTTTGTGTGTGTGTGTGTGTGTGTGTGTGTATATCAGTTCCACTGAGCTCTTAGCAGACCACATTCATGCAGGCCAATTAAAGTGGCTGACGCAGTGCGGGGCCCACTGACAGCTTCTGATGTGCCATTATAGCAAAGCGGGGAGAACCTCTGACAGAGAGGGGACGTTCCAGGAACCACCCACACACGGGTAGAGTATGATTCCTATCACCTGAGCACAAACTAATATATCTGAGTAGAGGAGATATGAGAGGAGCTTTATAGGGAAAGAGGAAGGCGACCAGGAGGGAAAGAGAAAAAGAGATATCGAGGCAATGTGTCAAAAGAAACAAGGCAACGTGGGCGCCTCCCCGGTAGGGTGTTAACAATGAGGTCCAACACGCTCAGAGAGAAACTTTTAAAGAAGAAAGCCCTTGCTTTTGACCTAGAAAGTGTTCAGCTGCAGTGTCTTTTAGGTGAAGTTCTCTAATCATTCGCAAAGCTGCAATTATCTTCAAACAAAGCGGTTCCCAGCCAGTTCAGTGTCTACACCAACCAAAAAAGTTAGCACAGAATCACTTCCAGTGTATTTTATGCTGGCATGATATGTTTATACTTCTCGAGTAACATGCCCAAAAAACTACCATAGATAATAGAGTTTAACAGGTATAACTTTTGTTCCAAAAAGATGGGCATATCTTTGCCTGGTGTGCAGTGTTTTTAAAGGAAAAGGAGGATAAAGCACTTGTGGTTGGCCTGAAAATAACTAGCAACAGCAGGTGAAAAGAATCTAAAATTGTTATCCTTTAGATGCGCCAATGACAATCCACCTTTGGAAATGGTCTCCACGGAAGCGAGGCTGTTGACACGAGGCGGCAGGCGCCTATGGAGGGATGTGTCCCGACCACAGCATGACTGAAGCAGTGTGGGATCAGAGAACGACAGAGAACGGCACAAAAGACAGCCGACACCCAAAGACGAGCTTAGAGAAATGACAAGGAAGCTCGTCATTCCATATCCATCCACATGGATACGAATACTGACTTGTAGGCTCACGAGAATTGTAAAAACTGTTTTACTTTTGTGCTCTTTTTATTTTTATTTTCTTTTTTAGGGCTTGGAATTACTTCTACTTCATTTGAATACATTTCTATTAAAAACTCAATGGTCATTATTCAAATAGAAACTCAGCTGTCCTCCTGTAAAACTGTACAAACTCTGAATAAAAATCTGTGAATATGTTAATCTGGTTACACCCACATCCTTGCCCAACATCATTTGATGCCATTTATTTGAAAAGTCTAATGTTGGGCTAATTCAAATGTGAAATGTTTGAACCTGGCAGTGTTTCTAAAGAGGAAAGAAGTTGAAGTTTGCTTAAGCTTAGTATGTTTACATCTTAGAGCTATTAGAGCTATTAGAATGTTTACATCTTAATATTTCAAATGTGTAGTTTATCTGTGATCCCTTGTTTCCGGGTGCAGCTAAATTATACTGCACTATTATATGACCATAAAGACATTAGAAAAGGTTCAAAACTTTGAAAACTTTGAAGTGGACGCACACTACTTCTCTTAGTTTCCTTGCCAAATTTTATATTTCAATGACCTTAATTGAAAGATAATTAAATAGCTTTATTGCTATTAACACTTCTGTGCCATACTATTGTGGAAATCTTTTAGTTTCTATTGCCCAGTGTGCCAGTGTCTCATCCCAAATGACATGCTGCGTGGGACCTTCAAACAGCCGATGCCCATCATGAATCCAGGAAACACTCTATGGAAAGGCGGGTGAAAGCTGTCTTATGATAAAATTATACAGCATTTATTTCAGGTTATTGCTGCACGAGCTGTCGGATTATTTTGGCTTAATGTCTCCAGTGAATTGTGATAACCTGCAACATGTTGAGTGTGGTTCATCTGAGCTGAAACTTATCTAATGAAAGAACAGATGATTTATCATTATGCCATGGTGCATTTAGTCTGATCTACAGGAGTTGTTCTTTCTTTCTTATCCAATTCAATTCTTTATTTCTATAGCGCCAAATCACAACAACAGTTGTCTCACAGCGCTTTCCAAAAAGAGCAGGTCAGACCCTACTCTGAAGTTATTTACAGAACTCCAACAATTCCCACCAAAAGAAAGCACTAGGCGACACAGGCGAGGAAAAACGTCCTTTTAAGAGGCAGAAACCACGAGCAGAACCATGGCTCAGGGTGGGTGGCCATCTGCCTTGGCCGGTTGGATGTGAGAGACAGAGAGGGTGAGAGAGAGAGAGAGAGAGAGAGAGAGAGGGTGTGAGAGAGAGAGAGAGAGAGAGAGAGAGAGAGAGAGAAGGACAGAGGAAGCTGAAGGAGACAGCCTACACAGTAACACATATACTGGATGAAAAATGAAAAAAGATATTGGTACTAATGATAATGATAGCATTAATAATAGCAATAAGACTATGAACAGTGGCTGTAATTGTAGCAGAGTAGGAACACGGGGACAGCAGGAAACTGCCAATCACAGATCCAGGCTCCACAGATCAAGAGCCAGGAACACCTACAGGAAGTGATAGAAGAGGGACGAAAAGCACACAACTATGGGAAAGGGAAAAAGTCCAGTTAGTAACATGCGTTAATGGGATAAGGTTGCACTGAGAGGGAGAGAGAGAAGAGGTGAGGGGAGCTCAGTGCATCATGGGAAATCTGCCGTCAGTCTAGGACTCACCCTAACTATAATCTCTATCATAAAGGAAAGTCTTAAGCCTACTTAACCCAAACTGGATGCTGGTTCCACAGGAGAGGACTCCGATAGCTGAACGCTCTTATGTGAAAGTCGATCATAAACAGGGCAAATCTTTGAAGAAACAGTATCTCCAGAACTTGGCATATCACTCTGTAAACAACTAGGATTAGAAACCATTTTGACCTTTAACAAATTAAAGACTTTAGATGTGTATTTCTGGAATGCTCCCATTTGGATCAGTCATCTCCGTGATTCACGCAAGCTTAAATGCTGCACAGACACAAAGAAAAACAACCCCAAGCCCATCTTCACCTCACAGGAGAGTCTGGATGCGCAGGATTTAAAAGAGCTGCTGTTTGCTGAAAAAAACAAGAAAGAAGAAGAAAAAAAAACAACAACAAAATTTCCTTCTGTTGCAGATGCATTTCATGGTAGCTTTGATCAATAAGAACGGACACGCTGATTGATGGTCCCTATTTTACCCATGCGTACACATAAAGGAGAAATAGAAGAAGGGAAATGTTAAGAGAGAACCAGATCACAAGGTGATATGCAATTGAAAAAAGTGTGTTTGTGTGTATGTGTGGGAGGGCGGTGGGATGACTTACAACAAG